GATAGATAGATAGATAGATAGATAGATAGATAGATAGATAGATAGATGATAGAGTGAGTGTGTAGGTCATAGGTCATAATCATAGTTAACAATGATTAGTTACAAACAATTGACAAATCGTAAGATACCAATAGGAAAAGATAGTAGAGAAGATGAGAAATGAGATATTGCTGTCAGAATTATGTGTTCAGCAGAGTGGTGGCTCCGGAGAAAGAAACTATATGTTTTAAATTGTTTTGCCATGCAATGCCCTAGGTGGAGAAGTTGAAATAGATTATGTCCAGGATGCGAGGGGGGTCTGTCAATATTTTCTCAGCCTCTTTCCGATGGCGTACAGTGTTCAGACGCTCAATGGAAGGCAGGCTTGTTGCGATAGCTTTTTTTCTGCACTCTTATTTATCTGTGGAAGTCGGTTGCTGTGCCAAACCAGACACTTACGTTGAGGTGCAAACCCTTCTATAGGGAGTTCGGCGGCTCAAGGCTCCGTTTGCAAAAATCTCTTTTCAGGGTCCGCATTCAAAGGAGAGAGAGAAATGCCCCCGTAGTCACTGCCCGCATCCCACAACCGTTGTTATCTCAGGGCTGACGTCGCAGTCTCCAAGCTAGACTAAGTCCCCTTTGTTTGGCTGTCTGGGCTCAGGCTGTAATCTTCAGCAAGAGGCACCAGCAGACGGGGCAGGGTCTGGCTGGCGCAGGGCAAAGGAGGCACAATAGGCGGGCATGTAAAATGCATGAACTAAACTTCAAGGCTTCCAGCCTCTGGTTCTCTCCTGCTGAGAACCCAGGAAAAAGTTCCATTTCTCGGATTTCCTGGGCAAAAACACAGCACTCGGGACCCCGTAACGCGCATGGAGGAAGTTTTAGTCCACAGCCGGCAGATATTTTTTTCCGCTTTACGAATTTGGCACGTTCACTTTTTATTGTTGTGCTTCTAACTTTTCCAAGCAGCAAAAGAGAATCTTAATTGCCTGATTGGCCATCTTAATTGGCCATCATCTTAAAAACAGTTTGAATATAAAGAAGAACCTAAGTCTGAATTATGAACAGCCACCCAGAAAGCACTTTCAGCAACAAAGGAGACCTCCCAGCAGCCCAGTCTTTCACTCATGCAGACCCTAAAGGGGTTCATTCACCTGTTTCCTTATTTTACTTAACTTTTTAAAATTTTCCTTTGTTCTCCTACTTTTCTGTGCTTGTCAGCAGTTCTCTGGGACCGTACAACCCATTCAGCTATGCAAAAAACAAATTGTGGTTAAAAATCTTCCAGCTTAATAAGTCGCATGAAAGCATTTAAAAAGGCCGAACCAAGGAATTTTTTTTAAAAAAAAAAAAGCTTCCGGTTTCGTTGTATTCATATATTGGGGACGCGAAAGGGACGCGGTGGCTCAATGGCTAAGATGCTGGGCTTGTTGATCGGAAAGTTCTGCGGTTCGAATCCCCAGCGCCGCGTAACGGAGTGAGCTCCCATTCCTTGTCCCAGCTTCCTGCCAACCTGGCAGTTCGAAAGCATGTAAAAAATGCAAGTAGGAAAATAGGGACCCTTATTTTTGGTGGGAAGGGAACAGCGCTATGTGCGCCTTCGGCGTTTAGTCCTGCCCGCCACATGACCACGGAGACGTCTTCGGACAGCGCTGGCTCTTCTTCGGCTTTGTGACGGAGAGGAGCAGCGCCCCCTAGAGCCGGGAACGACTAGCACGTATGTGAGAGGGGAACTTTTACCTTTATTGGGATGGGAGCTAATCCCGTTTATCTTCCTTTTCTGATTAGTCCAGGCTGTCTGGGTAGTCGTATGTTTTAATAATTTATATAGCGTTCTTGGTTGTATATGCGATCCGGAGTCCAAATTTGAATTAACAATAATAATCTTTGCAGCTGCTTATCGCAACCTTGGTCAGAATCTGTGGGGGCCGCACAGGTACGGATGTCTCTCAGGAATCCAAGTCCGGACAGTAATTTCGGGTCCGTGTGCCGCTCACAGCCTCTTCATCACCGTGGAAGGGAAGCTGTGGAGCTGGGGTGAGTCCACGGCTTCATTTCTGTGCGTCTTAGCTTATCAAGACCTCCTTGGAAAAATGCACGGAGCGCACACAAACGGCGTGTTTCCCTGTGTGTCTCCGCAGGACGCAACGACAAAGGACAACTGGGCCATGGAGATACCAAGCGGGTCGACGCCCCCAAGCCTATAGAAGTGCTCAGCAGTGAGACAGTCGTGTTGGCCGCTTGTGGGCGCAACCACACACTGGCCCTCATAGGTATTGGAGCCTTGGGTTGTGTGTCTGTGCCTTTCTTTTCTTTTCCTTATAAAATTCTGCCGAGATATTTTAGAACGGTATTTTTTTTAACCTGGGTCGTTTTAAGGTGTGTGGACTTCCACTCCCAGAATTCCCCAGTCAGCTATGAATTCTGGGAGTTGAAGTCCAGGCATTGTTGTGGAAATCATTTTGGCTGGAAATCAGAATTATCTTCCAGTTGCCAGCAAAAATAGCCCTATGGCAAGTAATGGCTTAACAGTTGCCACAAAAGACGTAACATCGGGCAGGATTATGTGGTTGACTTCCTTATTGGCTTTCGTGACTTAGGACCAAATTGTGGTCGTAAGCTGGAACTATCTGTATTAAGCTGCATTCGAGCTTTGGGTTGGGGCGGGTTTTGGCCGAGTGGGATAAGAAGGGCCTTTTTTTAAATTTTTTTCCTTCTAGAGAACGGATCTGTTTTTGCTTTCGGGGAGAACAAGATGGGACAGCTTGGATTGGGGAACCAGACCGACGCCATTCCCAGTCCTACGCAGGTACAAGAAGCAAACTTCAAAATGCAACATTGGTCGTGCTATTCCAAATTCAGCTTTTTCGCCCTTTCCCCCCATTTCTCATTGCTTGAACCACCAGTTGAGATTGTGAAAAATACCGCCTCTTCCTCAACTGGAAGCATTATTGTTCTAGCTTCTCTTTCAAGAACTTTTAAGGTCCAATTGGCCAAAGAGATGTGTATTAAAAAGCAAAATTTACACAGGCTTGTGCTAATGGCAGACTAAAATGTCCTTGAACTCATTTTTTATTTTTTATTTTCTTGTTCTCTTTTAGATCATGTACAACGGCCAGCCGATTACCAAGGTAGCTTGCGGGGCAGAGTTTAGCATGATTATGGATTGCAAAGGGAATCTTTACTCGTTCGGTTGTCCTGAATATGGACAGCTAGGTAGGAATTTCTACAGCCTTGGATGTCTTTGGGGAGAGAAAGTTTGAAGGACGCCCCTTAAGATTCGAACTTTCTGCCGCACAACAGGGCACAACTCCGACGGGAAATTCATTGCCCGAGCCCAAAGGATAGAATACGACTGCGAGCTGGTTCCCCGTCGCGTAGCCATCTTTCTCGAGAAAACCAAAGATGGCCAGATCTTACCGGTCCCGAACATCGTTGTAAGGGATGTGGCGTGCGGTGCAAATCACACGGTAAGAGGTTTAGTTCTCTGCGTGGTTTGAGTTCAGCGACAAACTTTGACTGCTGAAAAACGGGGAGCCGCAGAAGATGGAAAGTTGGGTCGGTGTGCTGCTTTTTAAACTATTTCTGGCTGTTAAGAAACGTCACAGCCGGTTGGAGTAGATGAGGAAGAAAACTTTTAAAATATTTTCTCTGCTGTTTCCAAGTGTTTAAACTTTAAAACATATTTCTCTGCTGTTTTCAAAACACCTCATTTAAATGTTGCTGGTTAAATAGGACATGGCTGGAATTGCATTCTTGACTCAAAACGGACCCTTCAAAATGAAGAATAAAAGTTTGAGGCCCAACCCTTTTTTTTTTTTAAACCAAAGTTGGAAAAATCCATCACTCTGGAATCTTTTATGAAACTTCAGAGTTGAAGAATATTTCATCTCAGCTTCCTCCTCCTCCTTCTCCTCCTCCCCCTTCTTCCTCCTCCTCCTCCTCCTCCTCTTCTTCTTCTTCTTCTTCTTCTTTTTCTTCTTTTTCTTCTTTTTCTCCTCCTCCTCCTCCTCCTTCGTCTCCTCCTCCTCTACCACCACCTCCTTTTTCTTTCTTTCCTCCTCCTCCTCTACTATCACCTCTTCTCCTTCTTCTCTTTTTACTACTCCTTCTCTTCAATCTACATTTTAATTCACAACCTCCTGTCATTTCTCCAGCTCATCCTGGACTCACAGAAACGAGTCTTCTCCTGGGGATTTGGCGGTTACGGCCGATTGGGACATGCGGAACAGCGGGATGAGATGGTGCCACGGTTGGTGAAGCTTTTCGACTTCCCTGGCCGCGGGGCTGTGCAAATCTACGCAGGCTACACCTGCTCTTTTGCGGTCAGCGAAACAGGTAAGCTTGGCCTGCTGTCAGTGAGACATCACAAGGAAGTGCGTGTTTTTCTCTCTCGTGGAAATTGCTGCCTGTTTTACGGTTTTCAGTTAATGCAATTCAGATCTCTCTCCTACTAAACAGAGGAAACCAGAATGTCGGCGTGTCTTCCAATTCGCGTGGCGCTTGTCTGCTAATCGCCTCGCAGAGAGCAGGCATCCCGCTGAATAATGCACAAAACCAAAACGTTTCTTTCCCCTTGGTGCCTGCTGCAGGAGGCCTGTTTTTCTGGGGAGCAACGAACACTTCCCGAGAGTCAACGATGTACCCCAAAACCGTCCAGGATCTATGCGGTTGGAAAATCCGTAGTTTGTCTTGTGGGTAAGGAAGCTATTTTATTCTTCTCTTCTGCTTTCCTTCATTTTCCTGGAAGGAGAGAGCTTGTGTACTGCGGGAGAATTCCCCCGATCCAGCGGTTAGCTATGCTGGCTGGGGTTTTCTGGGCGCTTTTGTTTAGAACATCTGTCCACTTTCTACATCTGCAGCTCTTCTACAGTAACTTTCTGCTTCTTTTTCAGGAAAAGCAGTATCATAGTTGCAGCGGATGAGAGCACCATCAGCTGGGGACCTTCTCCTACCTTTGGGGAGCTGGTAAGACGGTGGTTTGGCTGATTTTATGTAATACATTTATTTGTCGCCCATATCACAGCAACCACTCCGATGCCAGTTGCTTGGCAGTTTTGCTGGTGATGGGCCTGACTTAGCAGCAGAGGGTTTTTCTTTTCATTTCTCTATGAAGTTGCTAGTTTCCCCCACTTAGAAAATGTGGAGAACAGATTGGAAAATGGGAAAATTCCCAGAGGCGTAGATTCTTTCTTTAGCTTTCGTTCTCTGAAAAGGCTGTTCCAAATTACAGATAGTCCTCAACTTTACAACCACAGATGAGCCCCAAATGGTGTATGTGGCTGTGAGACGTTTTATGACTTTTCTGGCCGCGTTCGTTAAGCGAATCGCTGCCAGTTGAGTGAGTACGCCGGGCCAAGATGTAGCGATAGGTGTTTATTTCTGACTCTTTGTTATTACCCTTTGATTCGTACTTATGTGGCTGGATGAGGGTCTTTTAAGCCCTTTAAATCCCTGGGTGCTTTTGGGGGTGGTGTCTTTGCTGCATCTCAGAACCAGCCTTTGGCACAAGGAGGACTTTTGACAAAGGAAACATGCTCATTTTTAAAAAGAAAAAATATCCTTTTGATCTGGATATTTACCGAGAGAGGCCTGGCGCACCGAGACTCCTCATCTTTTTTGGTGCAGTGAATCTCTATTAGTCCTTCTCTTACAGCCTCCTGCATATCTGCTTATTTAAATTTGCTGATTGGCCAACTGCAGATATTTTTCCGTAACAAAATGATTGGTGCCAACTGAGTGGGTGTCTGGTTAGCTCAGCTGTTCTCCATTCAGAATCCGGGAAAGCAGGCGCTAAGTTTAGCTTTGTGTGTGTGTGTGTGTGTGTGTGTACATGCACACACACACAACACAGAGAGAGAGACAGACACAGACACGCAGACGGAGCCTGCTGGGTTCCTTGTTTTTTTTCAGGGTTACGGAGATCACAAGCCGAAGTCCTCAACTGCAGCTCAGGAGGTGAAAACGCTGGATGGGATTTACACAGAACAGGTAAACCGGCATCTTATACATAGATTAGAGTGTTTGTGAGTGGGTGGATGGATGGATGGGAGGGAGGGAGGAGAAAGAAAGAAAGAAAGAAAGAAAGAAAGAAAGAAAGAAAGAAAGAAAGAAAGAAAGAAAGAAAGAGGAAGGAAGTAGAGGGAGGGAGGGAGAAAAGAAAGGGAAAGAAAGAGAAAGAAAGAAAGAAAGAAAGAAAGAAAGAAAGAAAGAAAGA